CAGGCCTGTGTGTGGCTAGAGAAATTGAACTCAGGTGCGATAAACCAGAGTTAAGTTATGTTTTGACAGGGGGGCAACACTTGTTCACACAGGGCTATGTAGTTTTGGATTTTGTTTTCCCTTAATAATAAAAACCTTCATTTAAAAGCTGCACGATGTGTTTACTTGTGTTATCTTTGACTAATATTTAAATTTGTTTGATGATCTGAAACATTACAGTGTGACAAACATGCAAAAAGATAAAAAAAAATCAGTAAGGGGACAAACACTTCTTCACCTCACATAGCACTGTACAGTATTTTTAACAGTGACAACCCTGAAAACACAGTTATCTTGAGTTGTCCAATGACATGACATGCTCACTGCCTGTCAAACTCATAAATAAAAGGGATGGGGTTATATAAGGTGGCAGCAAAATTGGGTCAAGGATAAAGGTTACAGTAAAGCAGACTTACTTCTAGAGACCTGGACCAGCTCAGTGACACTGAAAACTCCTGATGTCACAAAACTTTCCTGGAACTCTGGACCATCTGTAGAAATGTAGCAGCAGTTAGATGTGTGTGTGTGTGTGTGTGTGCCTAGAGCAGCAGCAGTTAGTGCATGTCAGTCAATTCATAGGTCGACCAGTTCATTATATGTTTATTCACTTAATTAAAGGTATATGAATGTATAGCACACTATTGTCTAGGTGGTTTGTGCATTTATTTGTGCTTATGTACATTATATTTCCCTTTACAAAGCTATGAGGATTTTTTTTGTATTTTAATCATAAAATAATGTCCTTTTGATGGCTTGATTTCACTGTTTATCTTTATTTCTTTTAATTCAGTGTGTGTTGCTTTTGTTTTCCATTGTTTAACACAATAAGAGATTCATTAAAAGGAATGTAGTACACTATGTACAGAATGGGTTTTAGAACAAAATGTATTCATATGCTAAAAACTTTATAATCCAACAGCACTGGTCTTAACAGGAAAACAGTGCACCAATCGTTATGGCATGTGGCACTATCTGGTGTGCAGTGTTTGCATTACTGTCCATCTTATCACTTGAGTATCTGCAGATATGAAACTATGCTAAATTAAACTTCTAATGAAATAAATATATTTTACATACATTTTAAATTCATGGTTTATGTTCATTCAGCAGTTTATAAATGTAGATGATGTGGCAACCCATGATGTATTTTTGAGGAGAAATCAAATTTCTCTTTTGAGCCTTGAGCTAAAAACGTCCAGGAACGTCCTAGGTTCTCATGTATCCAGGTTATGCAGACTACGCTCCTCAATAACTGATGATCGTGTACAGTACCCATGGTAGCGGTTCGACTGTCCTCCTGATCAGAACCCACTCCTGTACGACTGGGACTGCTGCTCTGATCTGCCTCTGGGGAAAAAAAGAGAAAACCATCAGCTGATAGATGGTCAGGGCTTCGGTCAGGGTTAGTCAGTTTGCCTCATACATGCTTGGCTAACATCACAACAGCTTTTTTGGGATGGCTAATACTAATTAGATGTTGTCAAGTTTGTCAAAATATACTGTATACCTCACCTTAACTGTAGTAATAAGTGTTGTAAATAGTCACTAAAAGCATTCAGATCAACTAAAAATACTGTACTTCAAATGCTACCCACAAACTTAAGAATAAAAACTACCTATTAAATTGCTTTTGAAATATTTAATAGATGACTGCAGCACAGAAGCAGAGCTAAGCCTTTCCAGAACACTTGTAAAACTTTCGTGTGTTGTTTTTTTTTTTTTTTAAACCGAGAACCAAAAGAAACAAAAATAATAATAATAATAATAATAAAAACAACACATTAGCTGAAGCAGTATGATTAACAATAGAAGCAGAAGAGAAGTTTTAATCGGTCACTTGCATTTGAAGATTTGCTAGAATGTGAGACCACTTTCTCTTTGGCTCTTTTGGCTTCTTTGGTAAACATCAAGAGTACAAATAAACAAAAGTTGTGCAACCAGCCAAAATGTCACCAATGCGCCTCATACACCAACAGTTGTGACGTCCAGGCGCACGGGCAAGAATAACAAGTATAAACTAGGTGTAAGCCCAGTGCTGGTCACTGTGTGGAAAGCTGGTATGGGTGTTGATGAGAGAGAAGCTGCTGGAGAGGAGCTCCAGCCAGTGCTGTGCACAATGATCCTGCAAGGAGCGTGCTCTGCTGGCAGAACTCAGACTAGCACCGGTCCTTGGGGATAACTGTAGAAATGACCCAGCACAGCATGTGTGTTATCATATTAGATGGTTCTTTGGGCTATAAAATAGAAACTACAGTCACTGACCACTTTATTAGGTACACCTGTACAATTGTATGCAATTCAATGTAACACTTCCACCTTAACATCCGTCTCTATAGCTTTGTCCTCCCCAGCTACATGCATGCTGAGCTTAGTCCACTAGTGCAGCTGTACCACACTCCAAAAACAGTGGCACAGTACACAGCCAAAGGATGAAACATAAGATGGAACATAAACCCAGATAGACTGACACACAGCACATTATGTCTTAGGCACAGTATGTTTACTTCATGCCAGTCCATGTCAGTTTACATGTCAACCAGCCATAATGAACACAACAGCTGTGAGTGTGGCTAAGGTTTTGGCCATTCTGTATCCTCAGTGCACCATGCACAGCTGACCACTCACAGGTGGAGGCTACTACACGCAAAACCGCTTGTTCAGGAAAATAGAGACCTTGGTGTGTAAAAGCTATTGTGGTGGATGGCTAAGATGTAACAGTTCTATTTTACTGGGTGATCACCAGTATGGCAGTATAAAGAGGAAGCAGTACCCCAACCGGCTATGCCACTGTAGCAGAGTGTCTCTAGTGGCAGCGACGACAATATAATGCAGTATAGCACACTGTATAAAACATTTTTACTTTTTGTAGAAGTATTTTCTGTCACTGCCACAACAGTTAAATGTGAATTACTAAGTAACCTTAACAAGTACAGATGACCATGTATACTCAAGAGCAACTTAACTTCAAAAAAACTATAGGCAAGAAATATCAGCACAATAACACTAACATGTCAGCAGTTAAAAACCGAGAACTTTAGTATGCGGTAAAACATAAAACATCATTCAGGTCTACACACTGACATCAGCGTGGGTCTTTGCCGAGATAACCAGCCTGTGTGCGTGTTTGGTAATCCTAGTCTTGATTGCATAATGGTAACATAATGATCACAGCCCCGGTCAGTTGTGTCATCCAGCATATCATCCCGATGTCATAAAGTGGTATTTAAATTTTACCTGAAGCATACCGTATCGCAGTGCAGGAAGAAGAACAAGTCATTTTTACACTGAGATCCTGTACTACTGCTGTTCAAAAGGGTCGCCAATATCCCGCCCTTGTGCTCTTCATACAGATCAAGCTAAGGGCAGTATAATCACGAGCCGACCTTTGAATTCACACAACAGGCCAGCATTCCGCACCAGAGGCAAGACGTGACGCTGCTCTGCGTCAGCTGTGATGTGAATTTTGCACCGGTAGTCTACAAAACAAAACAACAATGGTGGGAGAGATAAGTGCGGATGTAGCTTTGTTGGCTCTTCAAGTATTGTGCTTCACGCAAAACTGATTAGCGTGTTTCTTGCCATGTGTGTGAATGTCATTAGTAATAACTGCAGTCAATGCATTCATGACATCAGAAATTGCTTTGACCTAGAAGTTAAAGAGGCGTGCAAACTTGAGATGCCGGTGAAAGCGTCGCACACATATTACATCATCAAAAGGTGCACCTGGCCCCAGACTGATGGCTAACCTTGTCTACAAAGAGTGCATCTACCTTTTGTTTCACCGTTGGTGTTACCAGAGTAGAGTCTGCACAGCTCAGTTGGTAGGGGGTCAAAGTTTTAATCTGAGGGTCCAGGGTTCAAGCCCCTGTTTGGGCATTGATGCTTTGTACTTTATCCATTATTTGTAATTTAAATCCATTAAGTCTGTTGTACATTGTACATTACCTCACATATCTTACTGTAAATATCAACAGAACATATCAGTAAATTAGTACTGACTTTACATATTGTAGATACTGCGCACTCTGCACTGCTGTTATTGCACTTCTGGTTTAGATGCTAAACTGTATTTCGTTGCCTTGTACTTGTGCATGTGTAATGACAATAAAGTTGAATCTAATCTAATCTAACCTCCGAAGGTGGACCAGAAGCAGAACAAAAATGGCCCACCATTCCAGCTTTGTGCCTTACACACAGAAAACGATATGGAATAAAGGCGCACGAGTGAGGCAGGGGCTACAGAGTGCTATTAAACAGTTTCTTGGTACATACCTTTCTCTTGGAGATAGTAAGCGAGGTAGAGGTCGAGCTCTTTCACAGAGACAGAGATGTGTCGAGGTTGGACACAGAGAACTGGATTGGAGCACTGGCCTCCCTTTACCAGCCGCTCTCCATCTGTGCTTTCCAATGGGATTCCTTTAAACAGGATGACCATCACCAGGTCCAACCTCCACACCTTAGAAAAGACAAAAGTGTTGACTAAAAATCAACATCTATCGTAACTTTGACCATTTTTATAAATACTGATTGTACCTTAAACATATGTGACATTTTATCCACTCAAAGGGGATATTTACCAAACCTGTTGCAATTTACCATCATGTGCGCAAAAAAAGAAAGCAAGTCATGTTGTGCCTTCAAATAGACAAATCATATGGCGTGACCAGCACCAGCAGGTACAGATGCAGCCACTCAGAAATGCTTTTCCCAGTTGAATGGCTTTTAGTTGCTTTGCAGTTCCCGTTAGACTTCTAGGAGCCCCCCTTCTCCTGTTGCCTGATAACGAGTGTCTACTGTAGATTCCACAGTAAATACACCCATTAAAGAACTATTCCTTGATTTGCACTGTGTCAGTATTAAATGGCGCTTTGTTATCAAAAAGACACAGACCAGAGTGGACTGTCTGACGTACTGTATTCACACTGCAGGGTCGTGTTTTTGTTTAGGCCACAGTTTATACAATAGAACTGTCTGACCATAATTCTCATCATACAGGAACTGCACTTTCACATTTCTAGTCAAAGATCGATTAAACATGGTTAATGTGCTTAAGAAAGTTCAACCTGCCCCAGGGGGTGCTGATACAGTTCTACAGAGGAATCATTGAGTCTGTTCTCTGCACCTCTGTCACTGTCTGGTTTGGCTCAGCAACCAAACAGGACAGGAACTGACTACAGTGGACAGTCAGGACTGCAGAAAGAACCATTGGTGCCAGCCTGTCCTCCATGGAGGACCTGTACACCTCACGGGTCAAAAGGAGGGTGGAGAGGATCACTGCAGACCCCTCACACCCTGGACACAAACTGTTTGAACTCCTCCCCTCTGGATGGCGCTACAGGTTACTGTACACCAAGACAACCAGACACGAGGATGGTTTCATCCCCCATGTCATCACTCTGATAAACAGTTACGGTAATCCAAGTTTATATGATTAACAACACAGAGCAAACACCACAGGGCAATAACTTATAGACGAAATCACTGTACATAAAATAGCTCATTTTTAACTTGTATATATACATATTTAGAAAGAGATTGGCCGTTTGTCTTCTTGTTTTTTACTTGTCATTCTGTTTTTTTTCCTATTTGGTAAAGTATGCTAGAATGAAGAAGATAACTTCTTTGTGAACATTCATTTGAAATCTGATCTATCACACAGCTGCGTCATAACCCCACAGTTATGTGGACTTTATAAAACAATACTTTCAATACAGCGTCATTAAAACACAAGGGGCAGAACGAGGGTTTAATGGCCTGGTATCATTGTCTTAAGGTACACCTTACTGTTTTATAGCTACTTGTTCAGCTGCTCAGTCTCTTAAAATGTTTCTCTGCAACTAAACTACAAATGCAGATACATTTTGTTAAGAACACATCTGACTTGGTTTGTATTCCAATGCAATGTAACTGAATGAATGAAACGCTGCACTTTTTTTTTCTTTAAAATTTCTGGTTATATGAAGTGGGCTTAGGCGGGCAGCAATTTCACTGCACTTTTTAGAGACATTCACATCTCCACTACTAATGAACCCCCTACTCTCCCACGCGCCACCTCCTCCAACTGCCAGCGATTCATTTCCCACAATTTACGGAACCCACAAATGCAGAGCTCGCAGGCTGTAAATGGCTGAAAACTGTCGGTAATTAGTGAAGTTTGTGGGCATTCATGGGACTAAAGTTCTGGTTTTTCAAGCAGTGTTCTATCCTTTTTGTATGCTGATCTTTTTTCTTACTTGCTGTGTCTGCATTTTGAGTGTTAAGTTTGTTGATTTGTTGTGTTTTAATATTTAACTAATCAAAATTTTTGGTATTTCTCTTCTCTGAGAAGCAAAAGTTATTATAATAAGCAGAATGTACCTTGTCAGCTTGTCGGAGACAATCTATGCGTCTCATTTTGCCTTTCTGATCAGGGTTTGACAGGACACAACACGCAGCTTTCTTCCCAGTGATTGAAAGGACAAAGTCTTCTCTGCATTCAGGTCTAATGTCCTTTCTTAGCTTGGCCAAAAGACGGCTGGCCCACTTCTGTTTCACCTAGCAACAGTGATATTGGAATGAGAGTCATGTCAATCATTTCATTGAACAACATATTCTACTAGTATCTTAACAACTTTAAGACCACTCAGTGTGATTTTGGTATGTGGAAAGTATAACACTGTTGTTAAATGCTGGTAAAACACTGATTACAAATACAATGTCTTCATCCATCCATCCATTTTCCCGGGACCGGGTCGCGGGGGCAGCAGTCTAAGCAAAGCTGCCCAGACTTCCCTCTCTCCAGACACTTCCTCCAGCTCCTCCAGGGGAATG